GGGTATCTGGCAATGTAAGCAAACATCCTGTATCACTGGAAAATAGAGACGGCCATTTCTAAAACAGGGGGTTTCCCTTCCCCCTGAAACATGTCTGCTACATCCAGAAACACAACTGTACATGTTTTGTCAGCGCAAAACTCTCGGAGAGAAAAATAGAGCATGTAAAGGTGTCCAGTTTCATATCGTCAGAGGACGGAGTAGCCAACAACAAGAATGTCCCCAAAGATGGCCACTCTAACTCCAGCTTTGCAAGGAGAGTGCCCTGCCTGGCCACCGGCACACCAAGCTGGAGCAGCGTCTAGCCCAGCCCCAGCCCCAGCCCCAGCAGGACCTGTGGGAATGGTCACCGCCCTTTAGCAAGACTCCACTGTGACGTGTGCCAACTGCCCTGCAGTCATCTGGCCCTGGCTGTGACCCTAGTCCGGGCTCTGGCCCTGCTGAGGAGGCTCAGGAAACTGCCATGGGAATGTGGGAATTTGCCTACCCAAGCATCAGTTCTGGTTATTTACAGCCCTCCTGCCCTCAGGAAACAGCTGGGAAGGTGGAAAGAGAGATGAAGTTGAGTTTTGGTCAGCTGAAGAGTGTACAAGGGGCCAATCCTGGAATATTGCAGCCATCTCTTTTTGGGGCTGGCCTTTGTGATTTAGCAAGGCAGGATAGATTTGCACCTACTAGATTAGCTAAACCAGGGATACAGAAGCTTGTGTAAGTACCAGCTTGCTTCATCAGATGCTATGACAAAGACAGTCCCTGCCTCTAGTGAAATTAGCTGTTGCTTATGGAAGCTCATGCATTTCTGCTGTAGTTAGTCAGAGAGGGGTAATGAATTTGTTCTGAATCAGTACAAAACCCTGCAAATTATATTGCAACCTGGAGCAGCACTGGTAGAGCTCTCTACCCTTCTGCTTGGTGAGCAAGGTGTTTTTCCAGCTGTGAGTGTTTTCTTCATAATTCCCACCCCTAGTGGCCTCTGCCTGGCTACCCTAAAACTGTGGTTCTCAACCTTTTTTTGTACCAGGACCCATTTGTAAACATTGATGGCCAATCTTGACCCACCGCCCCTCATTCCCAACCCACTGCCCCCCACCCCCAGCCCCCCAGTGTGTGGGGTAGGGGAGGCTATGTTTGGGGCATGGGGGTCCCAAGCAGCCCCTTGCAGGCTTGAACTCTGCCAGCCCGCAAGGGAAAAGCCATGGTTTCCCAAGTTTTTTTCCTTTAAAGGAGAATCTATTTTTAAAGTTTGTTCACAACCCTTTCATATATTCTTGTGGCCCACTTTTGAGTCGCAACCCACAGGTTGAGAAATGCTGCTCTAAAGCACTCTGGTAGGTGTTGCGACTATACTCCAGTGAGCAGTTATGCTTAATAAGGGCCACTGCAGCCTTTCAGGACAAGCAGTGTGATAATTTCACTTCCAGAATCATGAGCCCTGTGCTTCCAAGAGCTGCTTTAGATCATGAACCTAGCAGAAGCTCCAGCCACATCCTTTTACCAGGATAAAACTACTTTATGGTTTTATTTGCTGAATCTGTGCCTGTTTCCTGCATGCCTGGAACAGTCTCTTTTCCCATCTGTCTCCCTCTCTTTGTTCCTGCCTGGCAATCTGCTGGTCCAGATAGGTGTAATGGAGACCGTTTATCTCTGTTTTGATGGCCCTGCTTTATATGCAGCTTATGCCTTTAGGATACAGGGGGCCAAAATGTGTGAAAGAAGGTGTTACTTTGCCTGTTGGAATTCATCCCTTAATAGTCTTGTGTTTCTCAAGGCAACCTGCCAAAACACTGTGGTATGACCGCCCGCGGTATGTTTTTCTGGAGTTCTGCGTGGAAGACAGCATTGATGTCAAAGTTGACATCCAGGACTATCGGGTGATACTCAGGTGAGCTGCCCACTCTGCTGCAGGCCCTGCATCAAGTGCTCAGCAACCAGCCCAAACCCTGAGCCATGCAGGCCAGCATGAAGGATTGATCCCCTTGCAGACCATCACTATCATGGCCCACACCCCATTCTGAGGCACTGTGCTTGTGTTTTGGCAGCTGCAAAAATGTGGATAGCGTGGAGTTCTACAATGAAATCGACTTCTATGCCAGAGTGAATTCCAAGGTGAGATCCTGCTCCAGAATCAAGACCCCTACCCTGTATGTGCAGGTCCTTCAGGCCTTGTGCCTTCCAAGAGATGGGGCTTATGACAGCCCAAAGTGGGTCTGTTTGGGGTGGGCTGTAGTTTGCATTTACTGTTGCAGTTGTGGGTTGTAGTTTGCAAGGCTGTTGCATCCCAGCACTCAGGCAAAGAGGCAATCCCTGACACCCATCCTTCCCAAATTGTTCAGTGCTTGGGGCTTGACCTGCACACCTGGTGAAGGGTTCCCTTAGTGTTACTACACCGTTAATCTTACTCAGCCTTTCCCAGAATACACATCAATGTTTTGTTGTGGCCTGTGGTCACTGAGGACTCTTTGACCATGTAATGAATCAGAGGACTCCAAAACACTGAGCTACATGGAGGAAATGATTTGCACTGGCAGGGTTTTGCCAGGAAAGCCCCATGTCATTCTAGGTTTCTCCCCAGAGGCTAGAGCTGCCATGCTTTGGAAGGGAATTCCTTTCAAAGTTGTACCTTAATTCAAGCATGCACTACCAGGGAAGGATGAGCCTGCATGTTTCAGACTCTAGTACAAGCAAGTGTAGTCTGCATCTGTCAGCTGGGAGCATCGCATCTTGCCAGCCTATACAGAGGCTGGTGTAGTAGATGACATAGGATAAAATCATGCCATGGATTTTTGGAGCAGACTGGAAGCCAAACATGGCCTGTATGGCCCTAGAATGCTACTGCAGCTGTGCTGTCCCTAGAGATCTAAGGTGAGGTTCAAAAAGGACTCTTGCTCTGCCCCTGACTTGCTATGCAACCTTGGAAAAGGTACTCCCCTTTCCATGCCTGTTTCTGATTCATAAAATGAGAGCGCTTGGAAATAATGGGTTAATGGGACACTGTAGTGATGGTATAGTTGGTATTGTTGTTTGTTGGGAAGGCACAAGTAATAGCCCTGGTTGTATGCAAAGAAGAAGGTGGATTAGTGATGACCTCTGGGCTTTCCCTCGCATCCCAGCATACCCCAGAGTTCACACAGCCATTTCAGGCAAGACTCACAGATCTGTTCCCTGGCAGGACTCACAGAATAAGCGCTCTGGTCGATCCATCACCTGCTTCATGAGGAAGTGGAAGGAGAAGGTGGCATGGCCACGCCTCACCAAGGAGAACATCAAGGTGGGTTTGCTCCTTGGCAGATGCATGCCCAAACAGCTGGGTCACTTGTTTCCTCTGGGGTTATGTTCCCCCTGTTATAAGCTCCCCTGTCCCCTGAGTGCTATATTCAGCACAGTGAGCATTGCCAGGGTGGGTAGAAGAGTAACTTGAGCTATTCTGTGGCATGGCATACTAGGATTTCTGCCCCAGTTAGTGCTGGCAAGAGATGCCAGCTCTGGCTCCTAGAGACTGAGATTCTATGACTGGTGCAGTTATAACACCAAGAGCCCAAGCATCTCCCACTCTCTGTGCCTGCCTCAGCCCCAACTAAAGACAGTCTCTCACTCTTGAAAGAAGAGTTCAGAGTCCTGATTCTCTGGGAACAGCTCATCTGTTATATATGTCTACAGTGCTCATCACAATAGGGCTCTGATGCTTGATGACTCAGGCTTCTAGGCATTGCAGCAGTACAGATAACAAGATACAGTACAAGAATAATCATGGTCTTCATGCTGGCACTGCTGAACAGCCCTAGCTTATAGCAATGACTTTTGAGTGCTACTGGTCTGGGCCAAATCGCACAAGTGCCTTTGGCATGGAAAGACTCTATATCCTTCTCTTAAGCCCAGTCCTATGACTTTGGGACAGGAGGAAAGCCAGTGCCCTTGGAAGGCAAATGCACCCCCCTACCCATTCCTCTGAGCAAAGTAGTTTCCCACCAAGACAAAGCTCTCCATTTCACTCTTGCCATGTTCATTGCTATGCCACCCTCAAAGATGATACACTTTCTTCTGCTTGCTTGCAGCCAGCCTGGCTATTTGTGGACTTTGATAACTGGAGGGACTGGGAAGGAGATGAGGAGGTGGAGAAGGTCATGGTTGAGGAGTATGCAGAGGTGAGTCTCATATTACCAAGATTGTTTGGACCTGACCAGTAAGGTGCAGCCTCACAAGTGCCACCCAGGACCCAAGGCCTGACTCTGAGCCTTTATTGTCCCTGAAGCCACAGGGTCTGGCTGTGACCGCCCTCACACATGCTCTCAGCCCTGCTCTTCCTCCACCAGGACTTGGGTCCCTGAAGCAGATAAAATTCCCTGCCTGTCCCCACTTTCAGCATCCCCTCCCCTTTGGTGCTCAGTGGCAACCCCTACCCACCCCCCGCCCTTTCAGCAGGATTTTCCCCAGGGCACTAATTGTGGTAATTATCCCACTAGGTGCAGGAAGAGGGGACCCACCCACTGCTACCACTGTCAATGACCCAAGGGTTGAGGAAGCCCCAGGGCTGCTTCTGCCTTGCTCCAACTGGGGGGTGGGGGCTATGGGAAACATCTGTGTGGGGTGCTGGGCTTGGTTAGGGAAAGTGGGGGTCAATGGATTTCCCTATTCCTGCACCTGCTCCCTGCCCAGTAACCATAAAGCCAATTTATCTCTGCCAAGTACTGCACTACCTCGCCTTATAAACTTGCTGCTAGCTAGAGAGGGAAATAAAGAGAGATATCAATGGGGGTATTTGGGGATGGCTCAGTATCTCCACTAGCTGGTTCTAAGCAGAAAAGCACTTTGAAATGTTGTTGCAGACAGAACTGGAGAGATGAGGCATGGGGCCTTGTCCATAACAAGAAATAGCTTTTAATCAGTAGGTGGTGTTGGCTCTTGGGAAGAGGAGGAACCAGGCAACAAGAGCAGTAGGAGATGTACAGCTCTCTACCTACATCTTTATATAGCCCCATTATGACCTGAGCACTTCATAGATGTTGATGCATGGGGTCTCATCTCACTGGACATGTCTACATATGCTATTAACGTGCTGAAAGCTTACTGTGCAGTAAGCTTTCCCTGAGAGCACCTCTACGTATGTGCCAGCCAGGGGCGTGTCAGTACAAGGCTACTCCTGCCCTGCTATGCTCCCATACGGCTGCCAGGGGAAGCGCTAGGTTTCCCCAGCTGGCCAGGGATCAGGCCTAGGCTGGTGCAGGGCATGTTGGGGGAGCTACTTATGATTAAGTGCTTCCAGGCAGGGATCTACATGTGCAGGGTCTCAGAAGTAGATTTGCTGCTCCTGGCAGCAATCTGCTCTTAGCCCTGCAGCAGCCCCCTGCAGCAGCCAGGGGGACCTCTAGGTTCCCCCTAGGTTGTAGCCCAAGGGTTGGCAGGGAGCATGGGGACAAGAGACAGCTGTCTCCTGGCAGGGGTTGGGACATTGCTCCCTGCCCCCAGGGGTCTGCCTGCTGCTTGCAGCAGGGACAATGTCCCCCTGCCCCAGCAGCATGAAGCTCCTGGCCCCAGCTCCCTGTTCAAGGGCAGGGGACTTTGGAAAGAGCTGTATGGGAGGGGAAGGTCCCAGCCCCCTGCCCTGATCTGCCAGTGGGGCAGCTAGCAGCCCCAGGCTGGGCAGGGATTCCCCATCCAGCCAGGGGCTCCCTGCTAGATGCTCCACCCAATCAGGACATGAGGTTGGGACCTGTCCCTGATTTGGACAGTTCCCAGCCCCGCTCCATGATTATGGATTAGGGGGGCGGGGGCTGTAGAGCCTGTTAGCTGCCCAGCTCTGATCCTGGATGGGGAACAGGCTTCCCAGCCCCAGCCAGCAGGGACCTCCCAGTGTTATCTGATCAGGAGCAGGGGCTGGGAGATCTTTATCAGTCAGGCACCAGCAGAGATCATAGAATCATAGAAGTCGGGTCAGAAGGGACCTT